GACTGTTGAATCACACTACACACGAAGACCCCAACAGGAAGTATCTAACGCAAGATTTAAATATAAAACGAATATACTCAATGTATGTAGAAAAATGCAAGGACAAAATAGAAAGTGTGTTTCAAAGGCTGTGTACAGAATCATTTTTAGTACAGAATATAACTTTTTTCTTCCGTCCTAAGAAAGATCAATGTCCACTCTGCAATCTGTATGACACTTTGAGAATAGAAGATAGACTAGATGAGTCAACAAAAGCAAAATATCAAGTACACCAAGTGACCAAAAAGAACAAAAAACAGTGCAAGAATGCAAAAATCAGCCGATAAAAACGCACAAAGAAAGATCCAAAGTTTTCTGTGTCGGCATTTGATATCCAGGCTATTCTGAAAACACCACTCAGTTTAATTGGTGATCTTCGTTACAAAAGAAAACTGTGTTGTTGCAATTTGTCATTCTATGAACTGGGAAATGGTAACGGGACTTGTTATCTGTTGGATGAGACACATGGGGAAACCAGGCTCGTGCAAAGTAGGAACTTTTGTGTACTTGTATGTAACCTCTATTGCAAGTAAGACATCTGGTATTGAAGAAGTGACATTATATAGTAATGCATGTGGAGGACAGAATTGCAATCAGTTTGTTGCAAGTTGCTTAGTTCACTGTGTCCAAGATATACCTCACATCAATGGTAAAACCACACATTTCTTGAAATTGGCCATTCATTAATGGAATGCAAAGTCCATACATGCATCTATCAAGCATGCAAAAAGCCTTACAATAGTTCATGTTCCATCGCAGTGGGAAACAGTTATATCATAAGCACGCCGGAAGCAACCATATATTGTCGTTTCTAATAAAATACATTGACATACTAGATTACAAGTTGTACAAAGAACAAAACTTTGGCTCAATGAAAATCGATGTTGATGGTGAACGTGTTAATTGGCTGAATATATATAAAATACATGGTTGATTTAGGGATGAATAAGGCTTATCCGGTGAGCTAGAAAGTGTATCTTGGCGAGCTTTAGCAAGCCAAGATTCACTTTCGCAGTGAACCGGATAAACCTTCTCCAGTCCGACATCAACCATGTATTTGTTTTATCCTGCTTTTAATAATGTTTTTATAATAATTAAATGGTTTCATTCTTCTTTTTCCCCGATAAAATAACATCTATATGTAGTTTTGTTTTGCTGCTAAACATGTGACGTTATCAAATGATGTAATGACTGGAGGTAGATAAAGACAAAAATACAGTATTGTTGTGAGCTATGGTTTTGTGGTTAGTGAGTTTAAGGCAGTTAGGTTAATGCAGAAGAAGAACAGAAGCAAAGAAAAGTCTCTTAAGGCTCCATGAAAGGCTAATACAGAGAAGCTTCCAATATCTGCTGCAAAAGCTGATTTGATGTCACCTGTTGCCTCTGGAACAATTCTGAAGGAGTGCGAATCATACTATGAGTCATTGCCATGCAGCAAATCTATAAAAGACAAACTTTAAGTGCCTTCTGTTAGTGAGAGTGAAGAAGATGAGTGGAGGTCATAGAATAATTAATGACAAACATTCACATTTTGTGACATGAAACAGTAGTCTTTATTTACTTAACTATGATATGGGTTACTAATATCCTTAATTGCTGATGTCTTGGGTCTGTTTGACTTCAGTTCGATTATATACCAGAGAACATTCAAAATAATGAAATTTGTAAACTTAGATTTTAGTGCGTATTTTCGTAAACTTTTTAGTTATTAATTTATTTCTGTAGAATCAAAATATTGAGCAGGTACATATTTCATATTTCTATGAATGAAAAGTGTTAATTTTGTGTACGAGTAATAATATGCATTGTGTTAATTATATTACGTAAGGTTCTTCAAAGTAAGGACATAATTGATAAATTTGCAACAGTAACAATTACTGCAACATCTAAATTTTTCAGAGGAACAAGGCTATAACTGCACTTATAACCTTTTACCACAGTTTATCTCTAACTTTTATTGCTAAACCTTCAGAAGTAAAAGGTCGTAAGTGCAGTTATTACCTTTTACCGCTCAAACTTGTAGTCTTGACTGGATCTAAGTACATTTATTACCTTTTACTTCTGTAAAATGATATTATTTTGATCTTAGAACTTTAAAACAAACTATAATTACAGTGTTTTATCAGCACCAAGCAATGTAAACTAAACAAAATATGATCTAATGTAGTCAACAAATATGGGAGAATCAAAATTGTTATAACAATATTACGGAAAATAAAGTTGTATTAAAACAATATGTTTTTTGCGTTTTTCTCGAAATCTTGAAAATGGCAGTTATTACCTTTTACCTTTGAACCCTCGATATACAATGTCTTATAGGAAAATACTTCCAATCCCTTCATGTTCATAATGCTCTTAAGGTGAGTCTTTGCCTAGTACTTAAGGTGTCTATCTCTCAACCCAGGGATCATGGGTTCGAGTCCCAATTGGGTCACGGTCATGTTTCCTCATATGACACCAGTACTGGTTGGTTCCAGGAAGCGGATTCCAAAGTTTCAAAAACTTGTTTCGCAATCAAGCTTGAATAAATATGTTTAAACCAACAATCCTCATCACTATTTTGGAGTATATTCCCTTTATTTTTTTATTGTTAATTTTCGCCCCGGCTTGCACTCAGAATGTTGAAAAAAACTTCATGGATGAAAAGCTCTCATACACCATTTTTTTCTGTTATTGCCCTTCAATGTGTAGGTTTAAATGTGACTGTCAGTGCGTTCAAATGGCATATCCAATTTTTACTTATTTTCATAACTTTTCTCCTGTTCAGCAGGGTATTTGACAGTATGTGCCTGCTTCTTGTAGTAATAGGTTTTATATACATGGGTGCAAGTTATCAGGCATATGCCTGAAGCTCAGGTTTTTTGTGACAAATTACATCATGTTTTACTATTAGATTATGTAGGAAAATGATTATAAGTAAAGGTTTTCAGGTTTTTCCAAATTTTCAACTTGTACCCATGTATATAGATCTATATGTATTTATATAGATATGTGATTAGATGAAAACGTGTTTATATAGAAACTTGCTTATATATATTCATGTAAAATATAAACGTTTGCATGATAAAACGACACTTACGTCATTTAAAATTGAGATCAAAAGAGCTTATAAACCATCAAGATATTGAAGATTAATATGAAAAGTTAAAGATAAGCCGATTTTCTTAGGTTATTTAATTTTGTAAGAGATAAAAATGACTATTTTTACGTAATTATATAAATACATTATTGTATAGATACCTCGTATTCACAGTGTACACATGCTCACGTTTGTTTTGTTTTTGGTTTTTTGTTGGCCATTTAGAAAATAAAATCTGAGATGCAATAAGACATGATCTTCTTAGTTTATATTGTAAACTTAAATTGTGATGATGATGATTGCGATAACGACATGATGATAAAGACGATAACGATGATGATAATGATGATGATAAATTTGGTAATCTCTATTGAAAACTAACGAAATTGTGAGGAAAATACAAAATAACAATGTCATCTCTCCTCGCCCCCTTCGGAGATCTTTAATAAAAATAATAACAACTTTATTAACATAGAGTTAAACATAAAGACATACAGTTTTGTAACACCTTATGTACAATGCGGCCTTCTAAATAAAATCATATCGCTTTAAGACAATATAACATGTAAAATAAATAATGGTAATCACAGTGTTAGCATATATCTTAACACACATACTGAACATTCCTATAATTCATTTGATCAACAGCTAGCAGCACGCCTCCGTATTCATGCTAATTTTCATGAAAATTTGAAAATGTATTTACAATTATGATATTGTAAAGTTACCTAAAGAATGCAATTTACACATTATCAATGGCACTTACAGCCCATGTAAGTTACCAAAATGAGGTCAAAATATACAAAAATAGCCCTTACTGCGTTAGTAACGCAGAAGAAATATAGTTATAAATGCTGAAATATAGGTCATTCGCGCATAACATGTAAGCTTTTCTAGAATTTTGAATCTTTTTACTTTTCCTAAAATCTTAATACATTTTTTTCAGATTTGATTTTATTGAAATATTTTGCTCATCTGGAGGCTTTGCTCATCAGCTTTAAACATAATTACTTTCTTCGCTCGGTGCATCATTTCAATCTGCAATTAACAAAGTCAAACTAAGACAGACACCTATTATTAGAATAATGAGAGAGAGGGTGAGAGAGAGTTTCAACAGAGATATATTTTAATTATTGATCATTACGGGGCATTAACTTTAAACCTACCAAAAAGCTCACACCGAAGAACGAAAACCCCTTTAAATTTTAATTGACTTTTCATTTCTGAAAGCTAGCTCCTATACATACCTAGTTCTGGCTTCCAAAAACTTTATAACCCGCTATTTAACATTTTTTTGTTTTTCATCTGATGCGGCATTAAACACGTCATGTCATAGTATATTAACGGGTACGCTGAAGACCTTAAGCTAATACGTACCAATCCTGCCGTGTATGGATTCAAATGAAAGCGAAAGATAACGTTAAAATAGGAACAATGTGGACTAACATGACTGAGAAAATGTAACAAACCTCTATAATAATGCTCGTAAACGCACTTTACTAAGTGGAGCTGAAATGAAGCACGTATCACTTAGGAAATGGTCCTGTAAAATTCTGATAGATGTATAAATTAACATTTAAAATATAGATCAAAGTGTTGTTTACATATCACGTCTTTAATTAATTAAAATTTATGTCATGTACACATATCGATGTTAAAAATATAATATAAATTTTTAGTTTTATATTTACTCACGTCAAGGGAGATAACTAAAGTTTAGCAACAGCGTCTTTTTCTGTTACTATTCGTCTTTTTCCGTCACTATTCGGCAAGGTACGCACGTATTCGGCACTGAAGCGTATCTGTACATTTAACAAATAAATAAAGTTTAAGCCATGTCTAAGGTCAGGTGATAGTGAGTCATAAAATTTTAATGTTTACCTATTTTGAAATACCTACGTCATTTGACTATGAGGTCTCACGTGAGCGGTAAGCTATATAAGGATATGTAAACAGTCGATTTTAAACAGTTTAAAAATACGGAAAATATACTATTTGGTAAAGCAAAAATGTCTGGTAAGAAACAGTTTTGTTCTCTAAACTGGTTATTTTTGACATAATCATTTTTGCTAAATATACTTAAGATTCCTTAAGTTCGTTTGGAAACGTTGTAATATTATAAATATGGACGTCTTCAAATCTTCAAACAATTTTAACGATTTAATTTTCAATGAAATAGCTTGTTTATGTTGTTTGAAATTTTACAGGTCAAGAAAAGTCGATCTGAAAAGTATGAATACTTTAACTATCCAACCTTATTATAATAGATATTAATTGTTCAACTTCATGCAATTCCTAATCGTTTTCTTTCAGAAAAGAATCGTGTTTGTCCTGAATACGAAGCACCGCCCCCGTACTCAAAGGACGTGCCACCTCCGTACCCGAAGAACGTGCAAGCGTTTCAACAGCCGACAGTTGTAGTAGACGGCGCGTCGACTTTCCATGGCGGAGCTCGGTTTAATGAATTTGCAAAACCTTACATACCTGTAAGTAAACTATTTCGACAGAGATTTCATTCATTATACCATTGCATTTGTCTATCTTTTACTTAAAGGCCCCATTATGTCCCAGAAATGCTTTGATATTTTTTACTCAAATAACTTTTTTTTTGTATATTTTTTATTAAGTTTCCAAAAACCTTCAACTGAACAATCTTTTCTTCTGTTGCTTTTTTTTTGCAATTATAACAGTTATAGTGATTTAGAATTTCGTGTGGAAATCAAAATACTACTTTATTTACATTAATTTTGCTACCCATGTGACAAACGATTTCACATTAATACAACTTTTTTAGGTCACAAGCATTTACCATAAAAAGTACACATACATACGGGTATATTACGTTGAAATATGATTTTCCCCCAAAACAGCCGTTAGAAATCAAGTGTTATGTACAAAGTTGGATTTAAACGCGCTAGCTTGGAACTGTACACCCGATCTTTCACCTTTGTTCTTGATTCAATATGATCTATGTTGTAAGTTAAGAACACATTTTATTATTAAATCATTTGTTCTGGACATATTTGATCAGTAATTTTAATGCCATTATAATTTTAATCTTTCTTCTTTTTTCAATTTGAAAAACCCTGCTTTTTTAATGAAATAAACACAACTTGGAACGGTTTTAACGGAATATTAAATATTTTACAGCCCCCACCCCCGGGATGTTTGCCAAATCATCTTCAACAGCTGCAGATGGAACGTGGTCAGTTTGAAGTTGTGATAACAAATCCAAGAACATTTAATCAGCATTTCCATGGAATAGTCAGCTAAAAATATTTATACTGACCTACATCTGTTTGAATTTAGTCAGTCTTGATTCAATGAGCTTAAAAAGTGGAAAATATGGATAACATTTGGAAAAATAACGATACTACCCGTTTTAAAGAAACTTTGATTCATTCGACGCAGTTTTGGGGGTTTCCCAAATTTCCCCTGGGATCTTTGTCTTATGGAAAACGCCTCTTCCCGAGGACCCGGCTTTTACCCCTGCATCCGCACGTTGGGAAAATATGATTAATTGGGATCTTAAAAAGTTTTAAATTTTTTTGTATAAATCTCTTCTAACAATTTAAAATGTGAATCAAGTAAACTTTAACATGATTCCTTGCGAGAAAGAGAAAGCTGGAAAGTGCATTTTTGGTATGCAATGATGGATAAACTATAAATTATGTCATAATCTGTGAATGTGAATTTGTTTAATATAACCTACATTTCTTTTATAATATTAATTATAGTATGTGATTATTGTTTTAATAAAAAAAAATGTATCTGAAAAATATATTGTGCGTTTGTTTTATTCCTTTAAAGGATTTAGTTTTCAATAAATAGCTCCTTTATGTTGTGTGACCTGTACTGTTACTTTATTCCTTGAGGCTATCACCGTACTTAATTCGAGATAAGAAGTATTTGACAGGCCTATCACCGCGGATGGGTGACGTATACTATAAACTTTACACAGGACTGAGTCGTCACTAGTGACTTTAGACTGTAGCATTTACTTTATTCCCTGAATATATTACCGTGCTTAGTTCGAGATAAGAACTATAAGACAGGCCTATCACCGTGGATTGTGTGAGCTTAACTGTTTTCCCTGAGGCGAAAATGCTTAGTTCGAGATAAACTGTATGGGCGGCAATACCGGGACTGTGTATGAGCTTTACTGTTTCCTTTAGTTTATCAACGTGCTAAGTTCGAAGAGGAACTACTGTATAAGACAAGGCCGTATCACCGTGGTTGTGTGAGCTTTACGTTTTCCCTTAGGCGACCAAGGCTTAGTTCAAAAGATAACAACTGTGAGACAGGCCTATCACGTGTGATTTGTGGGAGCTTTACTGTTTTTCCTGAGCGACAACGTATTAAGTTCAGATAAGAAACTATAAGACAGCTTATCCACCGTGGATTAGTAGTGCCACATTACGTGAAATCAACAGTGTTGGAAAGAATTACTCAAAGTCGATCACCTTGAGGACATTACTTTTCCAGGCACAACTTCTCATCATAAGCAATAAACACCTATTGAATGGACTACTGTTTTCCTGAGGCCAACTGAGTTCAATAAAAACTTTCAAAATTGCCACCCACCGTGGATGGTTAGCTTTACTGTTTTCTACGATCAATAGGATTGTGGATAACGTTTTATTTCCTGAGGCGAGAACGGTAGAGTCTGGATAAAAATAAGAACAGCATATCACCGTGGGTGTGTCAAGCTTAACTGTTTCTTTTCCTGAGGCAATCAACGTTCTAGTTCGGAGAAAAACTATAAGACGCCTATCACCGTGTTTTGTGTGGCTTTAGTCTCCCTGAAGGCGATCCCGTGCTAAATCAGATAAGACAATAAAAGGCCTATCACAGGGGATTGTTGAGCTTGTAGTTCCCTGAGGCAAGCAACGTGCTAGTTCAGATAGCTATATGACAGGCTATCACCGTAAGTTAGTGAGAGCTTAAATACTGTTTTCTGAAGCGACAACGCGTTTAGTGCGGATAAGAACAAGACAGCCTAACACCTGGGTTGTGTGGCTTACTTTTTCCCTTGAAGTAGCATACGTTGCTTAGTTCGAGATTAGAACTATTATGAACAGGGCCTTCACCGTGAGTTTATGTGGCTTTACGTTTCCCTGAGGCGATCAACGTGCTAAGTTCGAGATAAGAACTATAAGACAGGCCTATCACCGTGGATTGTGTGAGATATAGTAATGTTTTTCCAGTGGCGAGGAACGTGCTCAGTTCGAGATAAGAACAATAAGACAGGCCTATCATAGTGGATATTGATAGCTTTACTGTTTTCCCTGAGGCGGTCAACGTGCTAAGTTCGAGATCAGAACTGTAAGACATGCCTATCACGGCAGATTGTGTGAGCTTTACTGATTTATCTTAGGCGATCAACGTGCTTAATTCTAGATAAGAACTATAAGACAGGCCTATCACCGTGGATTGTGTGAGCTTTACTATTTTCCCTGAAGCGATCAACGTGCTTAGTTCGAGATATGAGATATAAGACAGGCCTATCATCCTGGATTGTGTGAGATTAACTGTTTTATTTCCCCGAGGCGATCAACGTGCTTAGGTCTGGATAGAAAGTATAAGACAGGCCTATCACCGTGGGTTGTGTGAGCTTAACTGTTTTCTTTTCCTGAGGCGATCAACGTTCTAAGTTCGGGATAAGAATTATAAGACAGGCATTTCACCGTGGGTTGTGTGACTTTAATTCTTTTCCCTGTGGCGATCAACGTGCTAAGTTCGAGATAAGAACAATAAGACAGGCCTTTCATCGTGGGTTGTGTGACCTTAACTGTTTTCCCTGTGGCGATCAACGTGCTAAGTTCGAGACAATTAAGAACTATAAGACAGGCCGATCACAGTGGATTGTGTGAGCTTAAGTGTTTTCCCTGAGGCTAGCAACGTGCTTAGTTCCAGATAAGAACTATTTGACAGGCCAATCACTGTGAGTTATGTGAGCTTAACTGTTTTCGCTGAGGCGATCAACGTGCTTAGTTCGAGATTAGAAGTATGTGACAGGCCTATCACCTAAGTATATTACCGTGCTTAGTTCGAGATAAGAACTATAAGACAGGCCTATCACCGTGGATTGTGTGAGCTTTACTGTTTTCCCTGAAGCGATAAACGTGCTTAGTTCGAGATAAAAACTGTATGGCAGGCCAATCACCGTGGACTGTATGAGCTTTACTGTTTTCCTTTAGTCTATCAACGTGCTAAGTTCGAGAGAAGAACTACTAGTATAAGACAGGCCTATCACCGTGGGTTGTGTGAGCTTTAATGTTTTCCCTTAGGCGACCAACGTGCTTAGTTCAAAGATAACAACTGTGAGACAGGCCTATCACCGTGGGTTGTGTGAGCTTTACTGTTTTTCCTGAGGCGATCAACGTATTAAGTTCGAGATAAGAACTATAAGACAGGCTTATCACCGTGGATTGTGGGAGCTTCACTGATTTTCCTGAGGCGATCAACGTATTCAGTTTGAGATAAGAATTATAAGACAGGCCTATCACCGTGGATTGTGTGAGACATACTGTTTTCCCAGTGGCGATCAACGTGCTCAGTTCGAGATAAGGACAATAAGACAGGCCTATTACAGTGGATATTGTGAGCTTTACTGTTTTCCCTGAGGCGGTCAACGTGCTTAGTTCGAGATAAAAACTATCAGAAATGCCTACCACCGTGGATTGTGTTAGCTTTACTGTTTTCTCTGAGGCGATCAATAGGATTGTGTGAGATTAACTGTTTTATTTCCCTGAGGCGATCAACGCGCTAAGGTCTGGATAAAAAATATAAGACAGGCCTATCACCGTGGGTTGTGTAAGCTTAACTGTTTTCTTTTCCTGAGGCAATCAACGTTCTTAGTTCGGGATAAAAACTATAAGACAGGCCTATCACCGTGGTTTGTGTGAGCTTTACTGTTCTCCCTGAGGCGATCACCGTGCTAAAATCGAGATAAGAACAATAAGACAGGCCTATCACAGTGGATTGTGTGAGCTTTAGTAGTTTCCCTGAGGCTAGCAACGTGCTTAGTTCGAGATGAGAACTATATGACAGGCCTATCACCGTAAGTTATGTGAGCTTAACTGTTTTCCCTGAAGCGATCAACGCGCTTAGTGCGAGATAAGAACAATAAGACAGGCCTAACACCGTGGGTTGTGTGAGCTTTACTGTTTTCCCTGAAGCTAGCAACGTGCTTAGTTCGAGATAAGAACTATATGACAGGCCTATCACCGTGAGTTATGTGAGCTTTACTGTTTTCCCTGAGGCGATCAACGCGCTTAGTTCGAGATAATAACAATAAGACAGGCGTGTCACCGTGGCTTGTGTGAGCTTTACTGTTTTCCCTGTGGAGATCAACGTGCTTAGTTGTACATAAGAACTATAAGACAGGCCAATCACCGTGGCTTGTGTGAGCTTTACTGTTTTCCCTGAGGCGATCAACGTGCTAAGTTCTGGATAAAAAGTATAAGACAGGCCTATCATCCTGAATTGTGTGTGCTTAACTGTTTTCTCTGTGGAGATCAACGTGCTTAGTTGTAGATAAGAACTATAAGACAGGCCAATCACCTTGGCTTGTGTGAGCTTTACTGTTTTCCTTGAGACGATCAACGTGCTTAGTTCTGGATAAAAAGTATAAGACAGGCCTATCATCCTGAATTGTGTGTGATTAACTGTTTTCTTTCCCTGAGGCGATCAACGTGCTTAGTTCGAGATCAGAACTATAAGACAGGCCTATCACCGTGGATTGTGTGAGGTATAGTCATGTTTTCCCAGTGGCGACGAATGTGCTCAGTTCTGGATAAAAAGTATAAGACAGGCCTATCATCCTGAATTGTGTTAGATTAACTGTTTTCTTTCCCTGAGGCGATCAACGTGCTTTGGTGTAGATAAGAACTATATAAGACAGGCCAATCAACGTGGATTTTGTGAGGTTAAATGTTTTCTTTTTGCTGAGGCGATCAACGTGCTTAGTTCTGGATAAAAAAATATAAGACAGACCTATCATCCTGGATTCTGTGAGATTAACTGTTTTCTTTCCCTGAGGCGATCAACGTGCTAAGTTCGAGAATAAAAGAACTAAAGACAGGCCTATCACCGTGGATTGGTGAGATATAGTAATGTTTTTTTCCAGTGCGAGGAACGTGCTCAGTTCGAGATAAGAACAATAAGACAGGCTATCAATAGTGGATATTGATTAGCTTTACTGTTTTCCCTGAGGCGGTCAACGTGCTAAGTTCGAGATCAGAACTGCTAAGACATGCTTATCACGGCAGATTGTTGAGCTTTACTGATTTATCTAGGCGATCACGTGCTTAATTCTAGATAAGAACTATAAAGACGGCCTA